TAGACATGCCTCCAGATTTTTATGGAATTCCTGGTAGAAGAAAAAGCAGTAATTTTTGGCAAATATATCCCTACTTCAAATTACACTTGTACAGTAAGAATCATATCCCATCATATATATATCTTGAGAACATACTTTTCTCTAAAATAAGGGTATTCTAACTAGAAAAATAATGGGAAAATTAATCTCTATTCATTAATATTTATTTTAATATTTTAAGCTTTTACTAGCTTTGTGACTTTTTAGCCAAGAGAATTGTCCAGTACAAGCTATCAAAACAATAGTATTGTATTTCACCTGTAACAATGCTAAATGCATTTCACATATGCAATCTCTGGGATTCTGGGAATTTTCAATTCAAAGTAAGCACAGATCCAAAACAGAATGAAAACTAGACATGTCTTTCCTATACATATTTCTATAACATACACTATTTCCAAATATTAGCACTCTCAAATCTCCTTTATGTTGGAGGTTAAACAATTCACTTCCTGATACACCACAGCAGAAACTAGATGATCCTTGTGAAAAAGATGCATAGATGCAACCATGTTTGTGAGACTGTGGGTGTACAGCCACACAAAACACGGGCTCTTTGTAGTGGCAAAGATGGAGAGAATTCACTTTAAGCAAGTGGCAATATCAAGGATGAAATGGAAATAATTCGTAGCAGCAGATTTAGAAAAAGAATCTTAAGTCTTCTAAGACTACCAAGATGTGGAAGAAAAAGTGAACTTCACCACTCATATCCTTCAAACTAACTAATAAGGATCCCAATCATTATCCAACTAAAGGAGGGAAGTAACAAAAGGGACAAGTAATAAAATTTAAGCTGATGTCAAAAACTGTATTTTCAAGGTCAAATGAAGTGATGGCATCAGAAAGTCCAGTTATAAAAATCAAGTGAGAAGCTGGAAGTATTTGAAGCTATCTGTAAGAGGACTGACTGTGGGACATCATAAAAAAGCAGATGCCATCCACATAAGTGAGGGGATGCCAAGGGTAAGGTCTTCATTGCATCAATAGAGAACTTCAAACTGTACTGCCAAGTAAATGTTTCTGGGAAGTAGTAACCTGAAACATTAACACCTCTGAATCCTTGTTTAGTTACTCCGAAGTATTTATTCCTTAATTAACAGCTTATATTGAACATGTCTGAAATGTTAGTCCAGACACTCCCCAAGAATTTACATCATGGGATTGTCCAAACATTATATGCTTCTAAGAGATTCATATAAATTTGTTTGCTAGCAGGTTTGCTGCAGAGGAGCAGAAAAAGCAGTTACAGAAAAAAAAGTTTCCCTCTACTGTTTTGGCATTGACACTAGTAAGATTTTGTGATGATACCTGCATAAAACTTTGCTATGCATTCACAAGTATTTCCCCACACCAGTTCCAATTCTATTTCATGTAGAGATTTATGACAAAGAACAAACAAGGCTACTTGCAACTTTAGAACTTTTGAGAAGGAATAGATTTCAATCTCTAACTTTGCAGCTTTCAGGTACCTATTTCACATTTGAAAATTCCAGAACAGTACTATGAGGATCTGCACATTACAAACACTAACCTCTAAGTACAGGCCACTACTCACTCACTGAAGTGCAGTCCAGACAAAATTTGGGCAAATGGCAGACTCTTAATAACAATTAGCATTTTTTGTGTATGCTCCAGTTGTAGCTCACACAACTGGACAGTAAAGAATGGCCATTTGAGAAATAAAAAGAAAACCCAAACAAACTGAGCCAAATAGTTACTAGAGGTGGCTGTAGATACTTGCTCACAAGCGAGTGCCACATTTACAGAGCTGCTCTTGCAGCACTCCCTGCAGTTCATAATGTTCCGTCTGACAATCCATTTTTGGCAATGCAACATCAAAATTATCACCTATAGCAAATAACCTACCACTGGACATTCAGAAAACAGTGAACTCTCCAGTGCTAATACTACTGGTGTCTGATAATACACTGATGATTCTTCAACATCTCCAACTTCAGGAATGATAGAGAAATCAGAAACTCCAGGTTTTCTTTTCTATAAGTTATTCTACTTCAAAACCGAGTGCATCTGGCAGTATAGAATACATCCATGCCCACTGGCCTCTCTACCACTTTCCCTTTGCAAGGGAAATACTAATTAATATTTATCACATGAAACTCCTCTGCATGTCTTGCCACTTGTCTGCTGTTATCCACGTTGAATCTTGTATTCAAGTGAGCAACTCCAGAATTCTTAATTCACTTGAAGCTTGAAGTCTTTTCTTTCACAGCTCCTTAATTAGTTGTTAGAATCTTCACAGAAAGAGAGACAACAAACTCGTCTGTATGTTGGAAGTTGAAGGCACACTTTTTACTAGTAAAGTGAACAAATGTTTCTTCTTGGAAACAATTTAATGAAGACAAAAAGCATCTTCAGATTAGTCGTAAAATTCAACCTCTTTAGCTACCTGTTTCTCAGCTGATTTCAGTACTCATACAACACACAAGGCTGGTTTGGTGAAGCACTTTTCAAATCACATCCTCTCTTTTGTTCAAGATAGATTGGTAGAATGGAGTCTTTCTTCAGGCTTCTTTTCATGAGACTCAAGGCTCAGCAGCCTGTCTGCTCATCTCTCAGGACATTCATAGTTCGCAATTCTATTGTGTTCCTTACTTAGGACATTCCTTCCAGGGAAAACAGCTTCCTTGATGTTTAATTCTTCAGTTTAGTCACAGTAATCTCATAATTTTCATCATAAGAGTAATTTGTTATCCAGCTTTCTAAGACCATACTCTTCAGTTTATTTCTTCATGTCATTCCTCATAAGCATTTTGCACAATGTATTACCAGAAGAGGCGACAGTTTTGCACCATTTTGGTCCTTCCTACCATCTTGTGAGAATTTAACAACTCCTCCAGCTGTAACAAATTTCCTCTAGATAATCAGTTTTGGACAATAACAGGTGGGTTTTTCCCAATCCTAACTTCAAATTCACTGATTTTTTTTGTACCAGCTGGAAAACAGAAAGTAATCCACTTCACCAAGTTTGGCCATAGCAAGCAAATATACAGTCCCTGTCATTTTAACCAGAGCAAATATATGACAAGTAAAAATATAAAAAAATGCCTCAAAGCGAGTGTGAGTTTCTTCTTATCACTGGACAACAAACTCTAGTATGGAAGCATGAAAGTAGCTTGGGAGAAATGACAACAGGGTAAAAATAATTGTTGCCAAAAATACAACATGCCTGCGAATCTGCAGAATGAGGGGGAGTATGTACTGTGAAAGTCATTCATACAGAACCAACTCACAGTCAAAAGGAGGGAACAGAGCTACAAGTTTATTGTTGCTGTGATTCATTATCAACTTGAACAGCACTAATCTTTTAATTCTTATGATGCATCTCATTTCTCATTCAGCTACAGATTCCTATTTCTGCTATATTTATACAGAACATCTGGGAACGGACCTGTGCTGTTCATGACCTTAAATCTCAGAAGACAATTGATGATGTTGCCTTTTACACTGCCTTACAAACTCCTGAGCTTGTACCCTATTCCCAAGCATCTCATCTTGAAATATCTCATCATACTCCAGAGTCTGTGTTTTTCTGCTCCTCCCATGCAGAATTTCCCATTTCTACTCATAGACATCTGAGCAATAACATGTCCTGAATCAATCGAATTTAAGTATACAGGCTTTGGGTGTCACAGATTTTCCCATTCTGTAACTTTTGATTAGACAGCTGACTATGACATACTTTACATGCTAAAATTAAAGACTGAATGAATATACTAATACAGACATTCACATAGATGAATACAAATCCTGTTAACATATTTGGGAGTTTCTCAGATACTCTGAAGCAAGTCTCTATCTGTTCTAAATATTTCTTTCTCTGAAGAGGGTATTTCCTTTACGAATTGTTGCAAACATTACATATTCAAGTGGTCATCTTTGGTCAGAACTCTGGCAGGACGGTGAAATTTTCCTAAGGACTTAAGAATGGTCAACTTGGAGTTACTACTTTTCACTTAAGCTCTCACTACACACTCCAACAATATTTATGAATTAGCCCAATTTTCACCACACTTACTCTTTCCTACACAAGTTTTTCCAAGACCTTGCCCAGCTTCCACTACAGGATGCTTGTTTGTACTTTTTTCTTAAGACGAAATTGCCTTTGACAAAACTAAGTGATCCATTAGACCTAGCCTTAAAGGGCTATGGAAAAAAAAAAAAAAAAGGAAAATAATTTCAAACTGGAGGAGTTTATTCCACATCTTCTACAGCGATACGTACTTTTCAAACACACTGTCACAGGCTACTATGTCAGTACAGGAACTGAACAAAACTTCCTCGCGGCATTGTCCCTTCGGCTCGGTAATTAGCAGCTAAGTGGTGCATGAGTGCATTACAGAGCCATCCGGGCTGCCCTCGGCGCGGACAACGCTGCTATGATCGCTCGGCCGCCCCGCTCCCGGCCGCTGACACCTGCGGGACTCCCCTCCGGCCGCGCTCCACACTCTCAACATAACTCAAAAAAAAAAAAAAAAAAAGGCTGTTCTCTCGCTACGTTTCTGCGTCTGTTATCAGCTCGCGTTCAGGTTTTCCGCCGGCCAGGGGCCAAAGCCTCCCGGCTTTCCCGAGAAAAGCTGCCTGGCCCCGCAGCCGCGGCCCGCAGCGGGAGGCCGGCTCTCACCGGCCCTCTGCATCCACACAGAGAGGTCCTGGGAAACCACAACAGTTCTGCCTTCTCTCGGAGGTGGGAAATTTAAAAAATAACGATTAAAACAAACCAAGCCAAAGCACAACGCCGCCGCCAGCCTTGGCGCTGGCGAGCAGCGCCCGTCCCGACAGCTCCGTGCCCCGGCAGCTCCGCGGCCGGGCACCCGCACCCGACCCACGGCACACGGTCCCCACAGCTCTCCGGGCCCCCAGCGCGACCCACAGGGCTGCGGGGTAGAGGGGGCAGCATCCCCAGGCAGGAGCAAGGGGGGTACGGCAGAAGGGACACTTACTGGGCGTGCAGTGCAGAGGTGAGGCTTGCGAAGAGACGGGCGAGGAGGGAGGCGCCGCCGGCGGCGGCTCCTTGAGGGCGGCGGCGGCCGCGGAGCTCAGGACGGGGGGCAGCATGAGGTACCGGTCGGGCTGCGGCAGGCAGCGCTGGCACACCGAGTGCAGGCAGGGCAGCAGCTTGGGCCGCCGGCTCTGGATGGGCTGCCCGCACACGCCGCAAGTGTCCAACAGGTTGAGCGGGGCCGCGTCCCCGCCGCGCTCCGCCGGGCCCTGCCGGCTCTCGGCCTCGTTCTCCCCGCTCAGCGCCGCCGCTACTCCCGGTCGGTCCGCCGGGCACGGCCCCCCCGCCGCCGCTGCTGCTAACGCCGCTGCCGCCTCTTCCATTGTCCTGCGCCGGCCGCCGCCGGAGAGCCGAAGGGAGGCGGGGCGGCCCCGCCGCTTCCCGCCCGCGCTGCCGCCGCTGCCGCTGCCGCCGCCGCTGCTGCTGCCACCGCCCGGCCCCCGCCCCGCGGGTGTTCGTGTGCCCGCCCCAGCAGCGGCTGCCCCGCCGAGCTGCGCCGCCAACGGCCGGGCCCGCCCCGCGCCCCGCCCCGCCCAGCCCCGCCGCGACCGCGCCCCTGCCCCCGCCCCCGCTACGTGCGGCCAGCGCTGCCCCGCCCGCCCCGCGGGAACCGGACCGGCCGCCCCGTGCCGGGAGCCCCGCCCCGTACCGAGAGCCCCGCCCCGTGCCCATGGCCCCGCCCCTTGCCCATGGCCCCGCCCCGTGCCGGGAGCCCCGCCCCGTGCTCATGGCCCCGCCCCGTGCCGATGGCCCCGCCCCGTACCGGGAGCCCCGTCCCGTACCGGCACCCCGCCCTGTGCCGATGGCCCCGCCCCTTGCTGATGACCCCGCCCCGTGCCCATGGCCCCGCCCCGTGCCCATGGCCCCGCCCCGTGCCGGGAGCCCCGCCCCGTACCGGCACCGCTGCCCGCGATCTCTCGGCCGGGTGGCTGCCTGGCTCTGTCCGGGTGAGAAGGAAGCACGGGAAGTTCCTCTTGAATACGAGGAAAAACTTCTTTACTGTGTGGGTGACCAGGCTCTGGAAGCCGTTGCCCAGAGACGGTGTGGAATATCCCTCACTGGAGATGGTCAAGAACCATCTGGACATGGTCCTGTGCCATTTGCTCTAGAATCACCATTCTTGAGAAGGGAGGTGTTATAAATGAGAAACAAAAGTCTCAATATTCAACAAAATTTAGATTGCTTTATTTGATATAGACGGAGCAATCAGCACTGGGGAACGTGAGGGGTCACCGCCCACTCCATGCTCCATCGAACCTTGGTTTGCAGCCTCTTCTTACAGTACGGTCTCTCATTGTAATCAATAAGTTTTGGTTTTTTGCTGTCGTAATTTTGCCAGGTAAGCACTGGTGGTAGAACAAGCATCCTTATACAAATTCACAAAGTTTCTAGGCAATAGTCAGTCTCACAGATAACCATCTGGTCTTTGTAGATAACCACCAGCAAAGTCTGGAAGTCTGATCCTTGAGATAGGCAGCATTGATCAAACAAAGGCAGGAAGGACTGAATCAGGAAGTCTGATTTTGCAACCTGGTAGTAGATACAACTTATTTGGAAAACATAATATTCATGACAAGGACATTTAAAACAGAATGATTTTATAATATATTTTCCTTTCTCTAGTGTCCATGCTTCACTTCAGACCTTAGTGTTCTGGTTTATACAAACCCCAATACTTTTATGATTAACACGAATCTTTTATCAATTATCACAGAGGTTGGGCCAGATTGTGGTTCCTTCCAACCTGACCCGTTCTGTGAGAGTCTTTGTCCCTTGGACAGGGTGTTAAAAGAGGTCTCCCTTCTCTCTGCCCCATGTGCAGGTGAGAGTCTGTAAGTTTTGGCCTGTGTTTGGCTTGGCAGATCACAGCAGTACCACCACATGCAGCCACATTACCTGACTGAAGCTAACTGGTGATTGGTACAATTAAAAAGATACAACAGAAAAGTACAATTCCTGTTTAGACACAACATTTTATTGAATCAAAGGCCATAAGTATTGCACTGGTGAGACATTGGAACAGGTGCCCAGAGAACTGTGGATGCTCCAACCCTGGAAGTGTTCAAGATGATGTTGGAGTGATACTGAAATCAGTTAGAAAACAAACTTTGTAACACAATTTTGAGTATCAGACAGCAGGCATTCTTTATTACAGTGCTGGACACATCAGAAGGACTCTGTTAATCTGATGTGTGTCCAGAAGGTACAACAAGGTATTTATTCCATCATGATCATACATACTGATTACAGTGTACTTCTGGTTAATACATAAACATCACTTTTCATAGAACTAATTTGCATGCAGCTGCTTCCTACTGTAAGTCCTTTAATGTTCCTAGAGGGTTGTCTGAAGGGGCCTTTGGTGGTTGTACTCAGCGAGTGCCCCCAATGTTCAGGTTTCCTTGAACTTCTCTTAGGGCATGCACTGTTGCTTGTTTTTACATAACTTTGCCCAAAAAGCCGCTATATTCCTCATTTGCTGTTTATCTACTGGATCCAGCTACATTTATCGTCCTGTGTGCACACTTTTACATTATTTTATCTTTTATTGTTAGTTGGTCTTTAAGCTCAATCTAGCAACCTCAGGGGAACTGAAAATTTCTGTTCTCTGTGTTATTTATCTGGACAGGACTTTGGGCAACCTGATGTAGTGGAAGGTGACCTGCCCATGGTAGTGTAGAGTGGAAGCAGATAATAGTTAAGGTCTCTTCCAACCCAAACTGTTCTGTGATTCTGTGAGCTTCTATGAAGTATGCATGCAGACACAAAGCATTGCTTATACATTGGTTGCTGATCAACCATAAACTGATCCAAACTCCTCAGAGTATTCCAGATGTTGTACTTAAATTCTCAGAGCAGCTAGTATACTTCCCACTTCCTTGCAATTTCATCAAGACCAAGGATGAAACATCAGTCCCATAACAAATTGGACCATAAAAAAGCCGTACATGACAAAAGACTAATTTCTTCAGCACAAGGAACCACTGTGTACAGGAGCATTGTCATGATTCAGCATGTCTCACATGCATAATTTATCATGGTAACAGGAGAACAATACTACAGGTTGTTTTGGGGAGGAGGAACGGATTTGGCTTGACAATGAGGAATTGTGAAGAGGGAAATGTCATTCTCGGATTATGGAGGGGACAAGCCCTGCATTCTCAACCGTTGACCTGACAACACATAAGGAAAAAATGCCTCCAGAAGCAGTCTCCTGAAGTACAGCTTCTGCCTCCCAGTCCAGCTGCCTCTGTCCCTCACCAAGTGGTAGGAGAGAGCTCTGAAGTCCTCTTTCCTCCCCCCCACCGGTTTGGCTATCCAACACCCTATGATGATGAGCTAACAATCCATTGTGACAGGAGCTAGCAGACTGAGAGCATGCCAAGCACAAATGATGAAATGGGCTCTGGAATTAAAGTTAAAAAGGATGGGACAAGGTTCTGCAAGGTGAAAAAAATCACCAAAAACGCCATTAGAAAGGGTCTGTTGAGGAACAGGCAATAGCTGAAAGAGGGTTGATTAGTATTGAGAGCAAACATGATCAGAAACTCAGTAAATAATACATTTGTGAGGAGTAGTAGCAAGTCGTAAGATCATCAAATGAGGTCGTTTCTGTAACTAGTATGAGCTATTTCTCCAACAGATGTCAGGAAAATAGCAATACTGTGTAATGGTACAAAGATCACCCTGTGAAGGAACTGAGTAGAGGCTTTGTTGCAAATCATGATCCCCATGAGGCAGTGTCCCAAAGATTAGTAAAATAATAGGATTATGCTTCCTGCAAAGTTTGTTTACTTGGGATGTTTGCAAAGCTCACTCAAACTGTGCTGTAAAATCTGTAGTTGCATGGCATCTGAACAGCATCTGATTTAAAATGAAAGCTTGAACTTGCATAATTAAATTTGAATGCTTCCTGATAGTAGTAGCATCATATTAGGAGTACTTGGGACAGGAACAAAAAGGCCATGGAGGAACAGGAAAAATCACCCTGGGATAACCAACCATGCAGTACATGTAGACAAGAGAGTGAGGGAAGAAGCTTTTAAATGTAATTGCTTGGACAAAATGTGACAAGGATCAGTGAAAGAAGTGGCATATTGTTATACTGACATAGGTACTGAGCTTTTGGCTACAGCTACACCTCACCTGGCCATCAGGGAACACAGGCAGAGCTGGTTTGGGACTGTTGGAAAAGGTCACGTAGGCAAGACAACCACAGGGTAATATGTGCTGTACTCACTTTTGTCTGGTAACAGCTGATGGTTTTGTCCAGTTTCTGATGGAAGACGACTAATTGGGCTCTCCAGTGTTTCACTGGAATGAATTACACCAATGGAGAAAGAATGATGACAAGCTGATAGCTGGAAATCAAGATGACTAGCTGCAGGAAAGATCCAGAAGATGAGGCTGCTTCTCTCTTCCCTTGCTATGCTACTCATTACTTCTGTTTACAATTTGTTTTACTACCTCCTTTGCTTCTTCTGGACATCTCATTTAAAGCAAATTCCAGAAGCATTTTGCCTTCTCTTCAGATATACACTTTGTGGCTGCAATCTAGATCTTTGCCATTTGTAATCGACATTCCTGTGATATACAGCACAAGAAGTTGTAATTCAGAAACTTCAGCTGCAGAAAGAAATGGCTGCCAGCTGCACTGAAGAACTTCTCAATGGACATCCCATAACTAGAAGTTCCTTGCACTTAGAATTTACTTGCTGGCTCTAATTTCCTCCTTTTGTCCCTGGTTCAGTTTGTCTCTATCCTGTATTTCTAGATTTTCTAGCAGTCACTTGGCCTTGCAAATGCAACAGATACAAATCTTCCCAGATTACCACTAAAGGTCAGCATGTGCATTTCCTCCTCTTAAAACAGCTATATGATGCTAAACAGTCTCTTTCTAAAGTTTTTTTTTAATAGACCAAAATAAAGCCATAGGGTTTTGCAGTGTGCCAGCCCAGTTTAGCCTTTATGTGGCAACAGTGAAGGAAGTTGGGAGGAGATTCAGCCCTCCATCTATGTCATTAAAAAATACTTTTGACACAGTAGTCATCCAAGACATAGATGACATCTGGCAGCTTTTTGGCCAGACTCTATTACAGCAACACAAAGTTGTTGGGAGGATGTGTCCCAAAATCGACAGCCTTTACTGGTCTGTGTCCTTTGGAGAAATGGACATCTTAACATGTGATTGGTTTTCGAAATCTGTAAAATATAAAATATGTTCACTGGAAGCAAGATGAATGCATTATGAATTCATGGTTAGGGAAATGTAATATATTAACCTTTCCAGCAACAGTGAAGTAGGAGAACTTTGCATACTAAGACATCTGGAACAAGCAATGAATGAGCATAGTGCCTACCAAGCTCTGAAGGCTGAATTAGGAATTCATCTAGAATATAGCTTAAATCTGTGGGCTGCCTTTTGGAACTCCACAATCAAGAACCCATTAAGCTAAAGTAAACTCCTTACTTGTCCTTTCAGTAAGGAGATAGTGAGAAAAACCCGGTTCAGGTCCTTTTCTTAGGATTTTCAACTTTTTGTTTTCTATACTTCACTCACCTAACATTTACAGACACACACATAAAACTTTTCTTCCAGATTGGAGGATGGTTTATTGGAAACTTTTTTTTGTGTCCTGTTGTATATGTTCTTTACCCAAGTAAAATATTTCTCCAGCACCTGCAAATAGCAACTGACACTTTCACAATTGAGAAGATATTTGCTTGATTGGTTTTAGCTGGAAGCTCACCACAGATAAGGCTGGGTCCAGCACTCTGGAATGGGCCAGCTGCCATCTAATGTTTCCAGTTCTCCACACAACATGCCTCCACTGTAAACTATAGAATAATATCACCTCTGCACAGTTTCCTGTTGGTTTCATGGTCAGAGAAGACACTCTGCTTTTGTAAATTAACCCTGGGTTCATCCTGTCAGATTCCCTTTCAGGGAAAAGGAGTTTGCCTAAGGTGAGAGGCAACATGCCAGTTCTGAACACCCAGTATTAGACAAAAACTGATGGAAATGACTGTGGTATGCACAACCCCTTTTTCTTCCAAAGGTATTTTTTAGGCTTCACTTTCATCAAA